GTCTGATCATGATTAACCGATATTAATATGTCCATCTGTCTCAAATCACGGTTATGTGTCGTACTATAAACAATTAATTACATTTACCGGAAGTTAACGTTGATTGTATAAAAGCTTCCATGTCTTGCACATTACAGAAACGAAAAGTTCACATTTAAATTGCGGATTTAGTCTGCTTCTAAACTTATCCTCTTGTCCTGAAAACTATCACGACTCGTACACGCACACTTTGGATTACACAGATACGAATATATATTTATCATTGTTACTTTTTTCAGTTGTATTGCGAAAAGCAAGTTTTCTAAGCAGTGTATTAAAGGTTCTTTTACCGAGTTCTAAGACAGAGAGTTTCCTGTATTGATTGTGACGCTAAATAATTCAGAACGTCATTGTATCTTCCATGTAAATGGCAATATCATAAACTTTTTTTTTTTTGTTTTTTTTTCTGCAAGATCCTGCCAGTCAATAGTAGGAAATAAATATATACAAAGTTAATATACTTCCTCGAATATTTCCTTTTAAAATAAGTAGGGTTTTTATTAAACGGCATGAAAAACAAATTTAGTATGTTTATTAAAATTAACTTGCGTTTCATAAAACTCCCAATATCTCCAAGTAAAGTCTTTTTTCTGATGCTTTTAATGTTAGCCATCAAGAAAATACTAACTCTGTTATTTATTGTAAAATACCCTGATAAATCATGAGAGATGTAGTTTATCAACACTAGCATGCTCAAGTGGTCTCCAGACACTAGGGAGATTCGTGAGGTATCTGCTCCGGAGCAGTACTTAATATTATCGTATTCTAAGTTCTTATCTTCAGAGGCAGAATCAGGACTCATGCATCACAACAAGCTGTTACTGAAGGTCAAAGCCTCGTTTTGATCATATTCCCATCTTGTTTACAATAAAATTAGGAGATGTTTCGTTTTTGTGTGTCTGAGCAAGAGAGAGAGAGAGAGTTCTAAAATTGACTATCAATCAATTCCTGACATAAAATACGTTTGAAGCCATGTACGTGTATCCTGTGATATGTAAAGTGGTAATAATAATTTATTTAAGAAAACATGGATGTTTCTGACATTACAACTTCTACACATTGAACTTCGGTGCAAGAAATATTTTTAACCCAAAAAATAGAGATTCTGAAGTATTTGCTTTGTTTCAGCATAAAAAGACTGATTAGTAATGACTACATAATAGTCAGATCTGTAATGGTGTATAACCCACATGTGTAGCTAGAAGTCATGAAATCTTATAGGCCCTGCATGAAGTCTCCATTACTTAGCTAAGTACTAGTGTTGTTGCTGAAGAAAAACCAAAAACCAATGTAGATCCATTTAATGAACAACATGTCATATATAATTTCAGTTTGATTTTGAAATGCAATACACATTTACTATAAAGAAAATCTGTAATATGAATTATTAGGAAGTAGAAATAAAAGTATGTACATGTATTGAATGTTAATTAATATATTGTACAGTCTATATATGTGAAAGCACAAATAAAATCTATGAATAAAAAAAAAACAATGTACGTGTTTTTTCGACTGATTTTTCGAGTTTTTGGAAATACCGAATCCAGTGTAGCATTACTTGATTTAAGCTGAAAAATGCCAAACTCAGTATATAACTCATTGTTTTACCTGAGGAAATTTCGGTATCAGTATGATTAACATACGAAACACCAAATTCAGTGTAGAACTGAATGATTTCACCTAGGGAATAGCCAGTCTCAGTGAATACCTCATTGTCGTTTGGAATTGAGATGCTTTTAAAGTAGTGAAAGAAGAACCGATTGTTTTACAAAAAGAGTATTGTCATAGCAAATAAGCGGAGATCTCAAATAAAACCACATGTTTTTAAGTGTGAGAAATATATACTTCAGGAATGGAAAATATGGACATAAGCGGAGATCCCAAATAAAACCACATGTTTTTAAGTGTGAGGAACATATACTTCAGAAATGGAAAATGTGGAAATAAGCGGAGATCCCAATAAAACCACATGTTTTTTAAGTGTGAAGAACATATACTTCAGGAATGGAAAATGTGCAAATAAGCGGAGATCCCAAATAAAACCATATATTTTTAAGTGTGAGGAACATATTCTTCAGGAATGGAAAATGTGGAAAGGATTAAAGGTGCTAAAAAAAGGTTCTAGTGAAAAATCGAAGAGTTTTGAGGGGATTGACCTGTACAATTTACTTATGTTCAAACAATGCAAGATATTATTAATGACACGAGAAGTATTGAAATATTTATGACGCATTACATTAAAAAAAATTGGAGAGAAAAGAGAGAATAATGACGAAATGAGCCACTTAGATTAAAACAAATGAAGATCTTTAAGTTGATTGATCTAAATTTATCGATAAAGGAATAATAAGGTTGTTCATGATGAAATATGAAGATAACGAACAGTATTCAATCTTGAAAGTCCAATGAAACTATACAAATCTAGAGAAGAGCAAACACGACCTCGAAATTAAAATGTGGGATCAGGTACCATGGAGCAGTGAGCATACCCTGCCGACCGGTCACACCCGCTGTGTGCTCCTTGTCCAATCCGAATGAAAATAAAATACTTTATTTTTATAACAAGAATGCAGAAATATATTTTTCTTCATTTTATAGATACGGTACAGAAACAAATAAAACAGCTCTAGGTTAAAAAAAAATCTTTTAGGAATTTGGTTCTTTCTTTTCACACTTACAACAATGCCAAAGATGTTTTCTGCAATCTCAAACAATAAATATATTTTTTTTTATTTGACAGATTTTTTCCCGGCTGCTTCCACACTATAATTCTGGAATTATCAAGTAAAACTGAGCAATTTGTTTTTAATTTTGTTATTTTTCATGCCTGTGTTATCAACGCTGCTTAAATACAAAAAGAACAAAACGGATTGCTTGTCCTTTTTTTTCTCCCAGTTATCACTCTTAGGATATTCAAATGAAAGACATAAAAGATAGATTAAAGATTGTATAAACAATGAACTGGAAACTAGGCACATTTATACATAAATTGCACATATTTTATATGTACAGATTTATAAATATCACTTGATAAAACTGAATTAAGGACAGATGATACGAAGAAACTTTTTATTTTTCAAAAATCATGAAAATAACAACTAAGCCATGTTTGTATTAGTAAAATGAATAATGCTAACTGCATAGATTTTACCTTTTTGATTCAAGGTTTCACAATAATATCCTACAAAGTGATAAAAATTTGTAGATTAATAAGGTTAACGACGAAAGGGCGTAGTTTTGAACATGATAGAAAGTTTACAATTTCTAAATATTTTAGAAATTTAATACTTGCATCATTTATAATCAAAATAATTCTAGAAATATATATCAATCCGGCCAGGCATCCATTTTATTTTTCTTTTCTTTTTTTAACATCTGTCCTTAAATTAGTACTGATAGAAGATCACGAATCATTATGAGTTAAAAAAAATTACTAAGGAAAGTAATTTATCCAATGTGTCAAAAGATGAAATACATTTTCACATGGCATTTTATTAAATTTTCTTAATTTCGAAATAAAAGATTTTGGTTACATTCCCCAATTAGACATCAGATGTAAAGATGTAAATTATATAAAGGAAAATATCAATTTTCACTATTTCATTGAAGATGCGTATTTTAATATTCTTTTTACCTCATGTCATTTATATAACTCCTATTCAGTGTAAACTGGGGATTATGCCATTTTTAATATAAAGCGCAAGAATAGCAAAGACAGATGATACAAAAAATATTCAAAAATCATGAAAATAAGAACTTAATCTATGTTTATATAAGTAAAATGAATGTTTAGCCGCATAAAGTACATTTTTCATTCGAAGTTTCTAAATAATATCCTTTAATGTGACAAAAATTGTAAAGTTATAATGATGGCAAAAAGGAAGAAATCTGAACATCATAGGAATTCTACAATTTCTTTATAATTTAGAGATTTGATATACAGTGCATGCATTATTTAAAACCAAAATAAGTCCAAAATTAAAATATGAACCAATCCATGCATCCATTTGTTTGTTTGTAGCATGTGTCCTTAAATAAAGATTTAATATTTCAAAGTTTTCGTTTGATCTTAGTTCGGATTCACTTTGATTTTCTTCCGATAACTTTCTGTTAAGAACGTCATGTTAGTAATTAGTCTCTGAATGATATTAATACTTCTTGTTTTGAAAGATTTCAGAACTGTATGATATCAACCAGTCCACTGGTATATATATATATAATATTGAACCTACTTGGGTGGTTAAACAAGGATATCGTATTGACGGTCGTTTACTTAAATATACGCAGAACATATGACAGCCACATATGTTTATTAAAACAAGCATAACAGGATTATCTTTAATTATCACATCTTTCCATGACTCTTGATATAATTTTAATCCTCAGGAACTGTAGAATTAGTATTAAAACACCTTTTTTGAAAGATTAAAAATAGGGCTTAATTGAAACAAAAACTGAACTTAAAGAATGAACCCTAAAATTAAATTAAGAAATGAGCATGAATTTTCTTCCACTATACATTTGTTCACTTAGATTATCATTTGAAATACTATGTTTATTCCATGACTTCAATACTTTTTCTATTGTTCTAATGAAAATAACCAAATGCATTAATAAGGAGAAATAAAGTGTTCAGTATAAAAAAAATTAATTATTATTATTTCTTTTGTAGTTTTCAATGTCTCATCGAGTTAGATATCTGTAGTATTACTAATAAGTGAAATTGTAAACAGTATTTTAATCAATGTTAAGAAGCATTACCGAAAATAACAAAATACGTCAACAAAAGAGGAAATGGATTTCATATCTATAGCACTCGTTGTTCCGTCTCCCTATTAAAGACCGCGTCTTTTACGCCTCGGTTTTCATTATTGTAAGCTGCTGGCGAGTAGTGGATTATAGAAGGGGGAATAACTCCATTGATATTAACTACATTGATTTCTTTGACTGTCTATAAAATCCGTGTTCTGTCATCACTGAAATCAATTCTGTCTCTGAGACTTGATTGTCAGCGATAGGACCATGAATTTGTCCGATTTATCCGGTATCAATGAGCCTGGTGGAGATTTGCTGACAATGTTACTGAAGAAATTCACCTCCAGTAGACTGAATGTAAGTAATGACTTTCAATGTTTCTAGAATTTTATTTTATTTTTAGCTTTACTATTTCCTTCACGTGATGTTCCTCTAATATTCAATTCATGTTATCTTTAGTATTTAAATTCATTTTGAAATTTTTTTTTCTTGTGAGTAAATTAGAATTGAGAAAGAAATAGTTGAATCTTTTTATGTATAAACTTCAACAATAAAACCTTGTAATATTATTTTCAAGTCAAAGAATCTAATTCAACAAATTCAACAAACATTCAAATTGACATTAAATGTATTTTTTAAAATTTTGTTTGTTTGTTTGTTTGTTTGTTTCTTTATGAGATCAATGTTCGTTACCTTCATCTTTTTCAATTCCTTTTGATTAATTTACAAATTAACATACATGTATATATTGAAACTTGATTCACTACATATGTCTACCGCTATACACATAATTGAATACCATTTTATCAATTTCAGTGTAGGTTTCTTCAGGTAAAATAGGACAAGATATACCAAACACTTAACTTTAAACACATATTATGGTAGTATATAAAAATCAAATGTATTATAAAAGACAAAAACAGAACTATTAAGATTAGTAATTCACTATCTCTCCCGTGAATATTAACTCGCTGTAAAAAGTGTGAGTCCTTATTCATTCATTTTATTCCATAATTTAAAATTTGATGGAAGAATTAAGGGCGCGTATTGTCTTGGTGTATAATTTATAAATGCACAGGGAAAAAAAAGCGAGGGAAAAACATCTTGTATAAGTAAATATATATACAAATGTGTGTTACTCAGTAAGAGTAATAAATAAATGGACATTTTTAGGGAAATAACCTTTGTTGGATTCAAAGTCACTGAGAAATATATCCAAATGTAAAGGACCTTGGAGAAGCTATTCTGTTCATCATTTGAGAATTTATTTGCAATACAAAACCTACTAAATGATCATCAGGACCAGTATTAGCGGGGTATGGGCAATACAATGCAGTAAAACACCAGTCCACTTCCGACAATTATTGGAATATTTTCATCTTATCTTTTTTTTCCTCTTGTGCGATATAAAAACTTATAGGATAATTAGGCATATAGGAAGTAAAGGATGGTTTAAGATGCTTTAAAGAATACTGTGAAAGTAAAAAAAGTACATATTATATATAGTCAACATCGCTAATGAATAGAATCATGTTATTAATATAGTTTCAGATTTATAACAGGTATGAAAAAATAAAGTGTTTTCTCTTTTAATGTAAATACATATGTATTCAAATGATCAGGTATTGATTTTAATCATATTTTTGTGTGATTTCATCTACTAATTTCTTTTCATGTTATGTTTCCTGTGTTTTTTTCCTGGTTGCAGAATATTTTTAAACATTTTTTGAGTTAGAGACATGAAATAATATGAATTTTAATGTGAGTTGCATTGAAAAAGACCTAATTCTGAGTATATTCTTAAGATATTGCTTATTATTTATTTATTTATTTTTAATCAAATATGCGATAGATATTTCAATCTGTATATGACTTTAAATGCTGTATAATACTGTGTATTGTATAAGTAGCAGTGCGGTTTTATATACTTACACATTTTATCCTGAAGATAGGCACCGGGTAGAGTATACCAGCTATAAATCGGTAAATCTATTCAAATGATGTATGTTCTATAAATTAACTGTGTGCCCTGAATGTTTTCAATATCAATTCCGAGTTAGTAAATCCTGAACGTTTATCTAATCGAACACTCTCTATACGTGAGCAGAGTAATATCGTGAGAGGCCGTTTAGCACAGATTACGGTGTTGAATTCTCTTAATTGCTGTAAGATTTTTAAGATTCTGTTAATTTATTCGCTGTATGTGATACTAACTAAGAAGACAGAAAAGGGGGCCTAGATAAACACTTTATTAAAGAAGACAATTTATTTATGCATTTAATAAATGTCTAATTTAAGAAATTCCTGTCCTAAGAATTGAAATGGTGCTCCGTCTTCGAAAGAAGCGGATATTTGAAGATTAAATTCTTGTAAATCATGAAGAAAGAAAGAAGAAAAGAAATAAATGAACTGAATGTCGCTTGCATCACCCGTCGACTTAGTTAATCAGCTCATTGATTATGTTTGTACATAAATACGCAGTATGCATCTAAAAAATCTTTTTAAATAAATAATTATATATGTGAAAGAAATATGACAAGTGAAGAGAAATCAAGGAGAGGAGACAGAGCTATAATTGTTTTAGAATGAACATATAGGATACTACTTTTTTAGCATTTTGTCCCTTTTTGGATTGACATAAGTTTTAAATAATTGCCCACGTAATCTTTTCTTAACGTCATTAAAACTTTATATTCAATCGTAAATAATGAAAGTTATCAGCCATTACAGCATTATAACATCGTTAAAAATGGCATCCAAATTTCTACTGGTATCCGATATTTTGGTTTTCGAAAAGTGGAGAGTATTTTTTTTAATTTGGGAGATAATGTATTGATGAATTATTTTAATTTCAATTGATATTTGTATTGAAATTGGTTTAAAAGTTCTTTTTTATAGAGTTTTCTAGGCAATATAAATGAATGGAAAGAAATCAAAAATAGCAAATTTAGAAATCCCTAATTTTTACCTATTTGGATGAGGTCAATGCTTAAAAACAACCAACAATATTGTAATATATACACATTTATACCGGCAGAGGGACATCTTCATGCTATTAACAGTAAACTAACGTTAAAGTTACTTACATCGACTTAAACCAAGCACATCACAAAACTGACGAATAAATATTTGAAATCAGCTTCCATGTAATTCTTGACGAATTGTATTGAACTAGAGTAGCGAAGATGTCGCAGATCTTCGTGCGGAATATCGCTAGATTCAAACAATGATGTTAATTACGGAAGCAGCTCATATGTAACCTCATTTTACAGATGCCGCCTTGTTAGATTTAAAATGGAAGCGGAAGTGACGAAAAAGGACGTAGATTAACAGACAACTTTATTAATTTTTTTCTGTTCTTGTTGTTGATGAATCTCTGTTTAGGGTTTAATGGTAGTATTATTAATGAATCTAGAACACACTGTCATCTTGGACTCCTTTTCCAAAATGATGCCAAATGGTCATCTCATATAAATAATTTATATGAAAAAGCTTGTTCTCGGCTAAATCTTTTAAGAATGTTGAAACATTTGCTAGATAGGAGTGCATTGATAAAAGTCTATTTTGCTTTTATTCGACCCATTTTAGAATATGGTAGCAATGTCTGGGATAATTGCTCACAGGAACTTTCAAATCTTTTAGAAAATATTCAAGTAGAAGCAGCCCGAATAATAACAGGACTTAGGAAAAATTCATCCAGAAATGCTCTGTATTTAGAATTAGGTTGGGAACCATTAAATAATAGAAGGGAAAGACAAAAACTCTTGTTATTTTATAAAATTGTGTATGGTATAGCCCCTCTCTATTTGCAAGAAATGGTCCTACCTTTTATGCCACCAAATCATGGTTACAATCTTAGGAATATTGGTAATTTTAATTTTGTTATACCTCAAGCAAGGACAGTGTCATATTTCAACAGTTTTCTGCCTTCTACTATACAATTATGGAACAATTTACCATTAGAAACAAAATGTATTGAATCTTATTCAAGTTTCAAGAATATCTTAAAGAAACCTACTATAGACAAAATAAAGAATGTCAAGATCTTTAATCATGGTAATCGCAAGGAAAACATTATACATTGTCAACTACGTAATGAATCTAGTAATCTAAATGCTCACCTGTATAATCAGTATTTAAGTGAAATGGCATCTTGTACTAAGTGCAGATATCCCAATGAGGATAACTATCATTTTTTCTTAGAATGCCCTGCCTATAATAATCAGAGAATGACACTTTTTGACAGTCTTCAGAGTATAATAGATTTAGAAACCCTCTCTCCTGATCAAATTTTGAATACTTTGCTATTTGGTGATAGGCAATTACCTGATAAAACTAACTGTTCAATTTTTGAAGCAGTCCAACTATACATCAAGTTTTCAAAGCGATTTTGATATTATTTCATATTTAAGTTTTAATATTAATTTCCTAATATTTTTGATATTTATACTTATTTCAAATCTCAGCATTTCCATGTATATATATTGTATTTTTCTCTTGGATATTTGTCTTTTGCATTTTCATTTTTTTTTTATTATTATTATCCAGTGTTTTTGCTTGTTCCAGATTTATTTATTTGTTATTATTAATATTATTTTCTTTGCTTTTTTTTCCTTGCATATTTGTCTTTTGCACTTCATTTGTTTACTTATTCTATTTTGTTGTTTGTTTGCACTCTTTTATTTTTTTTCATTATATTGTATACTGAGTATACATGCTAAGTAATAACTTTTGTGAATCTATTAATCTATCTCTCCTTTTTTTCCCATTTCTAGTTAACAAAAGAATTTAATGTAACTTATTATGAATTATTTCATCATGATTGTAAATCATTGTCAATTCTTAACATTTGTAACCTTGACCTTCTTGGAGAGGACTTATATAGGCCATGCCTGATGTCCAATCCAATTATGTAAACTGACTTTACATAATAAAATACTGATTAAATTAAAATTAATCTCTGTTTAGTACAGTTCGTATTTTATTATACGTATTTTGAGAAAGATTCTTTTGAGGTTTTATTTGTGTCTTTCTTGAATAATTCTGTATCGGAATAAAAAAAAATTTCTCCGACAAGTCGGCAATTGTATTCGAGCAATACCAATTGAATACTTGACGAAGAGAAAGATAGTGGACAAATAGTACAAATGTAATGTAAATATGTGTATATTTAATAAATATAAGATATTTCATGAATTCATTTAATATAACTAATACAAATAGACGTGTGTTATCAAATCGAAATATATCAACATGAACAATGAAAAGATGTATCCATCAATTTATCCAAATTTTTAAAACTGTATCTAAATCCAAACATAACCACATTTTTCACTTTTTCACACGTTCAGCTTGAA